ACCTATGTGACTTTACCGAAAGAACCAAAGAATATGAATTCCTGCAGTCACGAAAGCTTTAAGTCAAGATTTAACATAGAACACCTTGCTGGAGTTGGGTTATCCGACGGTTCGGGCAACGACCCATCTCCACGTCACGTAGAGAGGCCAGAGGGGTAAGAGTCAATTTCTCGACGAATCGGATGAAGTGAAAAGGGTTCGTGGTGGCTTCTGTTCACATGTGTGCCGCTGGATGGGAGGTGATGGGTGTGCGTATTCAGTCACGCTGGGCGTCGAATTACAGGGGTGGGGGGGGGGGGTCCTGCCATCTATAGTTGCGTCCAACTCAAACCCTTTATCTTAGAGAGTGCCCTTGATTAAAGTGCTCACCAGATGCACTTTAAGTAAGGGTGGCTACTGACGAGAGACTGCATGGCGTCGTCGGGGGAGGTTGGAGTATCCACACTGCATCCCACCACATAATAAGAAACCTCCCGCTACTTTCTTGGTTCTTTCGTTAAAGTCATGTAGATAAAAAATAAAAAAAATAAAAATTTAAAATTATAAAACAATAATAAATTGAAATGATAAAAGCAAAAAAATCCAGGACGTTTCGATCGCAACCTGATGAAGACCGCTTATGTTGCGATCGAAACGTCGTGTTTATTTCGCTTTATTATTTTCAATTATTATTTTTCATTTAAATTTTTTTTATTACTTTAAATTGCTACCTATGTGACTTCACCGAAAGAACCAAGAATATGAATTCCTGCAGTCACGAACGTTTTAAGTCAAAATTCTCCCGCTATTTATTTCAACTGCCGCGCCGGGACGTGGAATCGAACCGGCACGCTCTGGATTGCAAGTCGAGAGTGCCGCTGTTAGGATAATCCGGTGATTTATCGTTAGTGTAAAACAATCGATCTTAAACGGTGGAAAAAGAGCTAAATTTACTCAGTGGTGTTCAGGTATTTTCCAGGTTGCGATCCAGGTGTTTTGGATAATTGGACGCCACGTTCGGACGTGAACGTGTCCTGGCACACACGGGCACGTGGAAAAGCGAGATTGTTAGATGGGCAGAGCGCGAACGGCGTGTGACTGTTAAACAACTATTTGTTACTATTTAACACATTTTTTTAACCAGGTAAGGCGCACTGAGCTATATAGCTCTTTTTGGAGAAGCGATCCGTCCACAAATGACAGCTCAGCGAAGTGGCCTATCTCGTGGTAATTTATAGCAGCCAAATACTCTAAACGCAACGTCGATTCTGAATGCGGTGGAGGGAAAAAAACCGGAGGACCCCGATAAAAAATTACACGCGACCACAGTGAGAACGCGCAAACTACAGGCATCGTCACGGGAGAGAGAGAACCCACGACCTCCTGTATACCACGCGAGATAGTTAACATCTCGCCACTTCTTCGGGGGGGGGGGGGGGGGGAAGCAAAAAAGCAAAACGCACGCCGAGTATTAAATTCACAGAGTAGAAATAACGACGACTTCAACAATCCACTACAGGTTTCCCTCGCCCTATGCGGGTTCGGTTTGTGCGATTTCGTGCCGTATGCGCGGCTGACCTATTTCCACCCAAAATTCGCTCTACTCTGCGGTTTCAATTCACTCGACATGCGGCTATGCGGTCGTAAGCGGCACAACATCGTGTCGCGTGTACGTATGTTGAACTTCTTTCGTACCGTACAGAGGCGCGGCCGGTGGGGGGGGGGGTAACAACAAACCCACTCGGCAGGCAGCTGTCTCCGTGTACGTAATGCGGGTCATGGCTAAGCGATTTCGCTTTGTGCGCTATTTCTTTGGAACGCGCCTCCTACCGCATAAAGCGAGGGAAACCTGTACGGTATTAGAATCAACGGGGAGCGGTGGCGCTGTGGTTTGCACTCTTCACTTTCAAGAGAGACGCAGGGGCCAGTGGAAAGAGGCACGCACACAAAGGTCACCCGTGTAGCCTGAACAGATTGTTGGGGAAAATGCCGGTGGCGAGCACCTATGAAGACCGGTACGGCACACGAGAGGGTTGTGTGGCTAAAGCCACGCCCGACCACCTGAGTCTCTCCAAACAAACCGTACAGAAATACACAAGACAGAGTACACAACGACACCCGCCGTTTGCCACTAGGTGGCGGAGATGTCACCAAAGCGCGTGTGCCAGGCTAGGTGCACCGCGAGGCCATTACGCGATGTGTGGAATGCCCGCCGTTGGCAGGGGGTCACGGAACGGACCCTCACGTGACTGAGTGAGATGGCCGGCAGATGCACCGACTGTGCCACCCCCGGCCACCCCCGACCCGCTGTGCCCGTTTGCAGCCCACCCTCCCCACCCCTCCCCTGAAATATTTTCCGGAGCTCAGCCCCCGGGCAGCTCCCGTCTGAACGGAAGCTCCCGGCGTGTACCGTGGACGTCGCTGCGGGTCACTGGAGCGGCGCGTGATGATGAAAAAGTGACGAGGAATCCACGCAATCGCTGGACAAGCGGATGACGAAGCGAGCTGGCGCGTGGCTGCTCCCCCCTTTCGCCGCCATACGTCGCAATGCAAACACACACATACACACGTGTGTATGTGTGTGTAACCAAACACACACACACACACGTGTGTCTGTGTGTGTGTGTGTAACCAGACACACATACACACACACACACACGTGTGTCAAGCAAATCCGCGTATACACATACGCGGATTTGCTTGAGACAAAGATCTCACCCCCCCCCCACCCACGTATAGCCTTCACAGACTGTTGGGGCAAGTGGTGTTGGACAGCAGTCAATGAAGGCCGGCACGGCACAACGAAGGGGTGGGTGTCCGCCTTTGCATCCGCTGTGCTGATGATTACACACCGCACCAGGGACTGACTGTGAAGGCTGTGTTTACCTGCACACACACGCACACCACACATACCGAACACACACACTACATACACCACACACACTACATACACCACACACACTACGTACACCACACAAACTAAATACACCACATACATTACATACACCACACACACTACGTACACCACACACACGACATACACCACACACACTACATACACCACACACACTACATACACCACACACACTACATACACCACACACACTACATACACCACACACACTACATACACCACACACGCTACATACACCACACACGCTACATACACCACACACACTACATACACAACACACCCTACATACACCACACACACTACATACACCACACACACTACATACACAACACACACTACATACACCACACACACACTACATACACCACACACACTACATACACCACACACACTACATACACCACACACACTACATACACCACACACTACATACACCACACACACACTACATACACCACACACACACTACATACACCACACACACTACATACACCACACACACACTACATACACCACACACACTACATACACAACACACACTACATACACAACACACACTACATACACCACACACACACTACATACACCACACACACACACTACATACACCACACACACACTACATACACCACACACACTACATACACCACACACACTACATACACCACACACACACTACATACACCACACACACTACATACACCACACACACTACATACACCACACACACACTACATACACCACACATACACCACACACACACTACATACACAACACACAGGCACCACAGACACAAACGGGAAAGACAAAGACCCCCCGTAAGCGTCTTTAAACGACTGTTGGGGCAAGTGATGTAAGCGAGCACAGATGAAGGCCGGCACGGCATACAAGGGGCTTGGTGCCCAGTGCCACGCCCGGCCGCCTTTGTCTCCCCAGTGGCGATGTTTACACACCGCACCAGGTACTCACTTGAGGCTGAGTCGACCTAGGGGAGGCCCAGGAACCGATTCAGATAATCATCACTGGGTGTTGGCCGTGAGCGTGAATCAAACTGGGGTCGCCGGGTTCGTAGCGCAGCGTAGCGCTAACCGCTACGCCACTGCGCCCCACTTCCACTCCCCACGCTCATTAACACAGCCCACAAACACACAGACGAAAAAAAGACAAAGATCCCCCATATAGCCTTAACAGACTGTAGGGGCAAGTGCTGTTAGCGAGCACCTGTGTACACGAGGGGGTGGGTGGCCAGCACCACGCCCGACCGCCTTTGTCTCCGCAGTGGCGATGTTTACACACCGCACCAGGTGCTCATTTGAGGCTGAGTCGACCTAAGGGAGGCCCAGGACCGGTTCAGGTAATCGTCACTGGGTGTTGGCCATGAGCGGGAATCGAACCCGGGTCGCCAGGTTCATAGCGCAGCGTGCTAACCGCTACGCCACCGTTCCCCACACACGACACACACACGACACACACACGACACACACACACACAGACACACGACACACACGTCGACACACGCCCCAAACGGAAACGCCGCGCCCGGTCGGCCCCCAGCGACTCCCCCCCCCCAATCACCGACCTCACCGCCGCGACCTCAGAGCGGTGAGCGAAGGCTGCGAGCGAAGTCGGAGGGAGAGGATTTCGCCCATGATGGGAGTGCGGCGTGCGTAGAGGAGGTGAACGGAGAGGAGAGGCAATTTTGGGGGGAGGGGAGGGGAAGAGGAGAGGGGTTGAGATGGAGCGTGAGGAGGAGACGTCGAGGAGGAGAATGGGGAGGGGTAGGAGAAGGATAAGACGAAGAGGAGCGGGAGGAGGAGTATAGCGAGGAGGAGAATGACAGTGGGGACGGAGAGGTAGGAGGAGGAGATGGACGTGGAGGAGAGTGAACAGGAGGAGAGGGAGCAGGTGAAGGATTATAAAGAGGAGAGGTTGAGGAAGTCGTAGGAGGAGGTGGACGTGGAGGAAGAGGAGGAGGAGACTGAGGAAGCAGGGAGGGTGAGAGGGAGGAAGAGGACAAAGGAGAGGAGAGGGATTAGGAGGAGGGGGATGGGGAGAGGGTGGAGGAGGGGGAGGAGGAGAGGTGTGGTAGGCGGAGGAGAGGGAGGAAGAGTAGCGGGGGGAGGAGAGGGCATCTCGGTATAAATGTACCGGAGCGCGCAAATTGTTTCGCAAAAAACTTGAGGCGGGCCCACAGGTGGAACCGCGCGCGTCACCGTGCACAGCCCCGGCACGTGAACTTCGACAGCTGTGCAGCGGAGCGCCGCTCAGCCACGGGCCCTGCCAGACCGACACGTGAACAGACAAGGACACACACGCACACACAACGTAGTTGGAGTGGTACACTTATTTTCACACTGCTCCGAAAACTTGACGACGCTTTGGACCAAGACTTGGCCGTGGAAAGAAATACAAAGACGCAAGGATGCTTCGAGGTTAGTGTTATGTCGGCCACGCGGTCACCACCACTAATGTCACCGCTTCCATCATCATCTCTAGCAGCAACAGCAGCTATGCTATCAGCAGTAGTAGCAGCAGCACTGGTAGCATCATCGCCACCACCACCACAATCATCATCATCATCATCTCTAGCAGCAGCACCAATAGCAGCAGCGCAACGGCAATCATCAGCAGACGCTTTCATCAGTAACAGCAGCATAGGTGACATCATTGCTATCGACATCATCATCGCGAGCAGCAGTAGAAACTATATACAGCAGCGCCATCACCAACAACATCATCAGTGGAAGGGTCATCATCATCATCATGAAGACCCCCCCGTATAGACGTTAGCAGGCTGTTGGGGAAAGTGCTGCTAGCGAGCACCTATAAGGAGGAGGAGGATGCTGACGTGTGCAAACCGCACCGGGTGTTCATTGAAGGCCGAGTGTCCTCGGAGAGACGCAGAAGCGGGTCGAAAATTCGCCACGGGTCGTGAAGCGGGAATCAAACTCGGGTCACCGGGTTCGTAGCGCGCAGTGCGCTCACCACTACACAACGGCGGAGCACTATCGCGCTCATCATCACCACCACCACTCACCATCACCCACCATCATCATCATCATCGCTGTATAGCAATAGGAGAAACACATCGTCCATCATCATCATGATTTTGCATAACGGACTCGTGTCTCGCTGGAGCGATGTGAACATTATTGCATCACCCATCACGGTCACGGTCATCGCCTGGATTGCAGCTGGTCTATGCCTGCGATTCCGAAGCCGCATTACGGCTCAGAACTGCGCGCGTGACGTTATTCGCATGCATAGCAGTTTTTGAAATATAGAGGGTTTTTGTTGTTGTTGTTGGTGGTGGTGGTGTACCGGATTCGTAACCGAAAATAATATATTTTTCGTTACCGACCCCTGTATCGAATGCCACCTGCGTCGCTGGCAAACTAATTCATCCCGAATGGCCCACCCACGATGCCCCTCTCGGATTTTGGGAAGCTCAGCAAGTGGGGGTTTCTTTGGTGGGTAGGGTGGGTCGGTCCTGGTTGCTCATTTGTCGTGGTGTTTGGGCAAGGGGCCCCCGAGCTGCCCACGAGATGGCAAATCGCCGCGAGACGGAATTATTTAATCCATCCGTGCGCAGCGACGAGTGCCACTCCTACGCGCGAGTTTCGTGTCCTCCGACTGCTCGTTCGTGGGTCGAGCATCCCGATAGCGTCGCAGGACCCTTCCGAGTAATTTAGTCTTGAGACGCGAGTGGAGGCTTTCCTGGTGAGATAACAGAACGCGTTTATTGGCGTTAGCACGACGACTCTTTGTGCGGCATTGCAGTGGAGGGTGGAAGCGGTGGCGCAGTGGAAAGCGCCACGCGCAGTGAACCTGTTGACCTGAGGTGCGATTCCCGGCCACGACAATCATCAGTGTGGAGCGATGTCTAAACCGCCTGAACTGGTTCTCTTGCACCCCCCCCCCCCCCCAAAACCATCAGCAGCAGCATCAACCACCATTGTGATGAACAGCTGATGATGATGATGATGATAATTTTATCTGAGATCAATACCGGACTCGATGCATTCGCCTGAGACAGTTCAATGATTCATTCTGGCTTATTTCTCTCGACACTCACACACGCGACACTCACACACGCGACACTCACACACGCGACACTCACACACGCGACACTCACACACGCGACACTCACATACAAAACACTCACACATGCAACACGCACATGCAAGACACCCACACACGAGATGTTAAATGAGTAAAATGCGTGTCGTAACCCCACCTCCACCCGAAGCAACCGATCAATAAAGTCGCCAGGTAAACACACGTGCGAATGTAGGACTGCTTCAGCAGCACCGCACCGGTGGCGTCGTTGCTGTTGTTGCTCAACGATCCACAACACACACAGACACACATTTAACACATGGGTAGAGCGACGTTCACGCTGCTAAATACAAACCGGCATCATCCGGCAGTCGCCAGGAATTTGTCAGTAATGATACACGAAAGGGGAGGAAGAGCGAATGCGTTCGAGATGTGGTGCTGGAGGAAGACGTTGAGAGTAGCGCGGACGGCCACGAGAACGGATGAGCTCAATCGCGGAACCAAACGGTAGGGGCGACTTCCCCACTCACAACCTAGTTGTAGGGGCGACTTCCCCACTCACAACTTAGTTGTAGGGGCGACTTCCCCACTCACAACCTAGTTGTAGGGGCGACTTCCCCACTCACAACCTAGTTGTAGGGGCGACTTCCCCACTCCCAACCTAGTTGTAGGGGCGACTTCCCCACTCACATCCTAGTTGTAGGGGCAACTTCCCCACTCACAACCTAGTTGTAGGGGCGACTTCCCCACTCACAACCTAGTTGTAGGGGCGACTTCCCCACTCACAAACTAGTTGTAGGGGCGACTTCCCCACTCACAACCTAGTTGTATGGGCGACTTCTCCACTCACAACCTAGTTGTAGGGGCGACTTCCCCACTCACATCCTAGTTGTAGGGGCAACTTCCCCACTCACAACCTAGTTGTAGGGGCGACTTCCCCACTCACAACCTAGTTGTAGGGGCGACTTCCCCACTCACAACCTAGTTGTAGGGGCGACTTCCCCACTCACAACCTAGTTGTAGGGGCGACTTCCCCACTCACATCCTAGTTGTAGGGGCAACTTCCCCACTCACAACCTAGTTGTAGGGGCGACTTCCCCACTCACAACCTAGTTGTAGGGGCGACTTCCCCACTCACAACCTAGTTGTAGGGGCGACTTCCCCACTCACAACTTAGTTGTAGGGGCAACTTCCCCACTCACAACCTTGTTGTAGGGGCGACTTCCCCACTCACAACCTAGTTGTAGGGGCGACTTCCCAACTCACAACCTAGTTGTAGGGGCGACTTCCCCACTCACAACCTAGTTGTAGGGGCGACTTCCCCACTCACAACCTAGTTGTAGGGGCGACTTCCCCACTCACAACCTAGTTGTAGGGGCGACTTCCCCACTCACAACCTAGTTGTAGGGGCGACTTCCCCACTCACAACCTAGTTGTATGGGCGACTTCCTTACTCACAACCTAGTAGTAAGGGCGACTTCCCCACTCACAACCTAGTAGTAGGGGCGGACTGCGGGTGATTTTCTTCTTCCTGTCGTACGGCTGCTGACGTAGACGCAGAGCAACGGCTCCAATTTCACGTTCAGGTGGTCAAGCCCGGATTCACGGCGTCAGGAGATATGCGGAGGAGTGTACCGCCGCTGTGATGTCTCCTTCTTCTGCGTATTTGTGGATGGGGCGTTACTTGCCGGAGCGATCGAGGTGAAGGCAAGCGCACGAGGGGTCGACTATTTTTTTTTTAACTCAGAGCGGCAGTGAGGGATAGCGGCAGGAGATGGAGGAGATGGAAGGCACTGGGGTCATGGATGGGTCTCCAGAGGGCTCATACAAAATAGTGAACCCAATAAACAATCGCGAGTTCTATGCACGTCGCTTTGATTAAGCGAGGGTATAAGTCTCCCGGACATCTGAGACAAAAAGGGAGCTTCGTAGCCCATCGGATTCCTGCAGTCGAATTAAAGATGCTGATGAATGTGGATCCGTGGGAGGGAAAAATCAGGGAGAGGGGCGATGGGGGGGGGGGGGGGTCATTGGGAGCGTTGTTGGCTCGTCGCAGTGTGGATGAGACCGGGAGATTTGTTCATCTGCCCAAATTATCCGTAACTCGATCTCCGATGGAGAAGTTGGGCACGGGATGATGTTTGCTTAACCGGTCGAGGCTGTGCGATTTTATGCCACGGTGGCTAGGAGATGTTAACTACCTCGCCTGGTATGCAGGAGGTTCGTGGGTTCGATCCCGACCCTGACGCCTGCTGCTGTATATTTGGAGTTTGCGTGTCTCTCTCTCATCATCATCACGGTGGCTATGAGATGTTAACTACCTCGCCTGGTATGCAGGAGGTCGGGGGTTCGATCCCGACCCTGACACCTGCTGTATATTGGGAATCTGCGCGTCTCTTTCTACCCGTGGTCGCGTGGATTTTTCTCCGGGTCCTCCGGGTTTTCCCCTCCACATTTAAAATCAATATCACGCGTTTAGACTATTTGGCTGCGATACATTTCCACGTGATGAGCCACTTCGTTGAGTTATCATTTATGGCCAGGTCGCTTCTGAAAAAGAGCCGTGTTGCTCAGTGGGGCCTTACCTGGTAAAATAAAATAAAAACAGTTTAATCTTGATTTGAAGCTTGCGTGACTGCAGGAATCCACACACTTGGTTCTTTCGGTAAAGTCCACGTGGGTAGAAAATACAATGAATCACGACGTTTCGGGCGCAACACGTCGTGATTTATTTGATTTTATACTTACGTGACTTTACCGAAAGAACCAAAGAGTATACAAATAGTTTAGTTTAAACTAAAATAGTTACATAAACGAAAGCGGTCGAATATTATGAATAGTTATCCACATTCAGTCCATTGGCAGGCTGCGTGCGGTGTGGTTGAGTGTGGGTACTCGCCGTTCTTCCAAAACTTATTGGCCAGCATGGAAGAGTAGGCCCAAAGCCATCTCTCCAGAGCTACGCTCTAGTGGAGTTCCTTCTTGCAGCAGTGGCGTGAGCGGGGAATTTCAGCGCTGCTCCTTTACCCATTGTGAGTCTAATAGGTCTCTGGGTATGTCGATGGGTCCCTGTGTCCGGCTATGCGCCTCTATGGGTTTCTAGGCAAGTCTATGGGTCTCTAAGTCTATGGACCACTATGTAAGTCTATGGGCCTCTATGTGAGTCTATCATATGAGCCTCTTTGTGAGGCTATGGGCTGCTATATGGGCCTGTAAGTATCTCATTATATGGGCCTCTATGTAAGAGTATATGACCTCTTTGTGAGTCTATGGGTCTCTATGTGTTGTCTGACCATGCATGAACATGTTGGTTCAGTGTGCGTTGGTGGTGATGGAGGGGAGAATAGATGCTGGGTGACAGTGGATGTTCCTGTACTGCCGACTCGTGCCCACATTTGTCACCATGCAACAACATTCGTCGAAAACGCCCCCCTGGAAGACGAACGCGTTGGAAGAGAGAGAGAGAGAGAGTTGGTGTCGTTCTTATTGTTGTCTTGAATTGTGCACCCCTGACAACGCAGCAGCGACCACGGTGGCTCGGAGATGTTAACTACCTCGCCTGGTATGCAGGTGGTCGTGGGTACGATCCCGACCCTGACGCCTGCTGCTGTATATTTGGAGTTTGCGGTGTCTCTCTCTCTGCCCGTGGTCGCGTGGATTTTTCTCCGGGTCCTCCGGTTTTTCCTTCCACATTTAGAATCAACATCGCGAGTTTAGAGTATTCCGCTGCCATTCATTTGCACGTGAATATCCACTTCGTTGAGCTATCATTTGTGGCCAGGTTGCTTATGAAAAATAACTATATTTAATGCCAAGGTGAGGGTGCTAACCAGACGAGTTAATGCTATTTTATTTGACAGTTGAAGCAAATCAATGCTTATAATGATGATGATGATTTAGTTACAAAGATAAAGTATGTATGTATGTATGTTGAATTTCTTTCGCACCGGAAAGCGCGCAATGCAGCGACTATCTTTGTTCAATAGTTCAATTATAATTAAATCCTCCCATTCCAGGCCGGTACTGTGTTCATGTTGTGCCACACATGGACAGCTGTCACTGGGGGGTCCCCCTCTAGGTTAGACTGCAGCAGAGAATTGGAATGCTTGAGATGAAATTGTGATGTAAGGAACTTTGATTTTCTGAGGCTATTAAATAAGTAGATCATTGTCATTATAACCAGGTAATCTGTGTCTGTTCTATTTGCAGCTTAAACTAATTTGATGATGATGACGATAATGATGATGTGACAAGGATGAACGATAATCATATGCACGTTCCACCACCACTGTCCGACTGTCCACATCCCACTAATCTGTACATGTCATGGTGTTGCTGTCTGTGTGTTTGTGTGTTTGCGTGTGTTTGTGTGTGTTTGTTTAATCTGCACAGGAGGGATCTGCGTTATTCTCTCTATGATGCTGTTGGGTGCCTGGGCAGGGGAGTCGAACCCAGGTAAATGGTCCAGGCTCTCCATTTGCCTGCTCCCTCATATCATCGCTCTCACCGTCACATCCATCGGTCTACATCTGTCACCATCGTCACCATCATCGTCGTCATCATCAACGTCGTCACCATCATTGTCGTCACCATCATCGTCGTCACCATCATCGTCGTCATCATTGTCTTCAGTCATCATGAATCCACTGCTGCACGGAGGCCTCCCCAAGGTCGCCGTCATTCTCATCATCTCTCTCTCCTCATCCTCACCCCTTACCTATATCGTCCCACATCTTTCATCATCATCATGACTATAGTATAACTATGCTGCTGCTGATGGTGATGATGATGATGATGACTCTTTACAATAACGATGCTGCTGCTGATGCATGTATTAAAATGATGATGCTGTTGCTGACGCTGCCACTACCAACGATGATGAGGACGATGATACTGTTGCTGCTGCTGCAGCTGATGATGACGAACTGCTCTTCGTCTTCCCACAGTGGAGGTGGAGCACCCCCGCATCTCTGCGCTCCATGCACAGCCGTGCCCCGCACACTACCGCGACTACTGCCTCAACGGGGGATCTTGCCACTACCTCCACCAGACAGATAAACCACACTGCAGGTGATGACCGCACCACGCAGCCTTACCCGGACTCCAACCCTAACCCTTACATCCTCCGCACAGCCCTGATCCTTACCCGGACTCTTACGCTGATCCTAACTATTTCATGGACTCCAACCTTAATCGTGACTCTCAACCTAACGCTGGCCTCATGCTCACGCTGACCATGCCTCTTATTTTAACTCTACCGATAGCTAACCCCTAGCCCTAACCCCTAACCCTAGCGCCTCCACTAATTCTAACCTGACCCATAACCTTTGGCTCGAACCATACCCGTACCACTCACTATCGCTAGGCCGTAGCTCTAACGCCTAGCCTTCATCATTTCCCCTAAGGACTAACTGCGACCGCTGGCCCCTCGCCTGTAGCCCAGGAGTCGGTAACAAAAAGACCAAGAAGAGGCATTGTTTTTATTAATTAGGTAAAAATTATAATAACTATTTCAAGAGCTGCAATGCACTTTGTGAATATGAGACGGCGGTCCTTGATACATAACGTCACTAAGTAGTCCTTAAAGAGCCGCATGTCGACGACCCCTGGACTAGCCCCTAGCCTCTAACTACTCGCCACTAACCTGTAGCCACTAGCCCCTAGCCACTAACCTGTATCCACTAGCCACTAACCTGTACCCACTAGCCACTAGCTACTAGCCACTAACCTGTAGGGACTAGCCCCTAGCCTCTAGGTACTAGCCACGAATCTGTAGCCACTAGCCCCTAGCTACTCGCCACTAGCCTGTAGCCACTAGCCACTAACCTGCACCCACTAGCCCCTAGTCTCTAGCTTCTAGCCACTAATCTGTAGCCACTAGATCCTAGCCACTAACCTGTACCCACTAGCTACTAACCACTAACCTGTACCTACTAGCCTCTAACTACTAGCCACTAACCTGTAGCCACTAGCCACTAACCTGTACCCGCTAGCCCCTAGCTACTTGCCACTAACCTGTAGCCACTAGCCCCTAGCCTTTAGCTTCGAGCCCCTAGCCTCTAGCTACTAGCCACTAGTCTCTAGCTACTAACCACTAGCCCCTAGCCTCTTGCCACTGAGCTCCTAACCCTGACCTTTCTCTAAGTTGAAGACCTCAAAGGGCGGGGGTGGGGGGTGAAGTGGGGGGGTGGGTGAAGTGGGGGGGGGGGGTATGCCAAGAGCGCGTTTGAGTGCGAGCACGCATTGTGTGCGGTAGCACAATAAGCTCGCGTCGCCGTAATTAGAGCGGTGAGTGAATGGGCGTTGCGTAATGGAGAATCGAGGGCAGGAACAATTTAAGTGTCACGAGAAAAAACAGGTGTGGGATTCCCTTCCCGCATGACACACACACACACACGCAGGTGTCATACAGGTGTGTGTGTGTGTGCGTGATACGCATTCCGAGTGACTGACAGGGACCATGCCCACCTAAAGCTGGGCCTGGCTTTACCGGCGCACCATTTGCAACAAAAATATGGATTATATATTTTATTTTTAAGCTCGTTTACAGAGGAGAGCCTCGCCGAGTTTTGGCACTCGTTTGCAAGGATGGTCCTGCCACGTTTGCGCAGGAGGAGGAAGGGGGAGAGAGGTCGATGTTGCTGATGCACCTGCTACTCTGCAACCCATAAGCAGATAGCGTTGCGGGGACATTTTTTATAGCGTTGTGTCCGTGTGCCCAGTCAGTGCCAACGAAGATGGCATCGATTCAGTTGTTCCAATTTCGTAATAACAGTGAATTACCCACGAACTACTTGGTTAATGTTTAAGACGTGGGAGCCTTTCGCGATCAATATAATCCATAACACAGGTTGTTTTTTGTTTGTACGTTAGATCGCGTAAATATATGTGTCGTTAAACCCGTCACCACCCGACACAGCCAATTCGTAAGGTTTGTTATGTAAACAGAACGTGGCAATTCGTTACAAGTAACATTTTCTGCTTACGTGACAAACCTTACTAATTGGCTGCGTCGGGTGGTGACGAGTTCAACGACATGCGATCTAACCCCCCCCCCCCCACTCTATTATGGATACTTGGTGAATGATAATAATAATAATTACGTACTAATGTTGCCAATTCCTACAAGCGCCGTTGCATGGCAAATCCCCATTGCAAGGTGCACTGGGTTATCAAGTAATTCACTCTCATCAGCGGCGTAAATGAATTTAGAGGACTGTTGCTTTGCGACCTCAAGGTGGGCGCCTATTCCTGCTCTGATACTTGGGCTATGTGTGGGATGGTTTTCCGATACCTGGGTAACGGGTAAGGGGGAAGGGGTAAATAACAAAAAACGCAACGACACGAACTCAAACGCAGATGTACAGCGGCGAACGAGGTTTGGGAATTGACCTTAAAAAAAATGAAAAAAACCTAATTGTTGGTTTTATTAATTTATTAAAAACTTTAACGGCGCAGAGGTTGGGTTCGGCAGGGGGCTACCCGAAGTCCAACGTCGTTTTAGTGCGCAGGTCACGACCCTCAACCTCAGCGGAGGACGTTGACTGCGACACCACGGCTCGATGTTGAGTCCACAAACATCGGGGGAGGCAGTAAAAGTGTGACAGGCTCGCTCACTTACGACCGTGCCAGTGACCCTTACGGCAGTGACCCTAGCAGAGAGCCGGGCCGGCTCGACCCTTGCAGGACACGGACCTCGAGCAACCGTATAAAAACCCGGGACCCGTGCCCTCTTGGCCCCGGGTTGCGAGTCCCAAGCGTGCGGCACTCTCCCCGAACCGAATCCAATCATCGATACTTGAATTCAGGCGATTGGATTCAAGAAGCGGTGAAAACACCGAACCCCAATATTAGGATTGGGGTGCAGTTGCACGGTGGCTAGGAGATGTTAACTACCTCGCCTGGTATACAGGAGGTCGTGAGCTCGATCCCGACCCTGACGCCTGTTGTATATTTGGGGTTGATCGGTGTCTCTCTCTCGTGGTGGTCGCGTGGATTTGTCTCCGTGTCCTGCGGTTGTTCCCTCCACATTCAGAATCGACGCGCGTTCAGAGCATTTGGCCTACTGCTGTAAATTTCCACGCGATAAGCCACTTCAACGGGCTGTCATTTGTGGCCAGATCGCTTCTGAAAAGGAGCTGCGTATCTCAGTCGGCCTCACTTGGTAGAATAAAAAAACAGTTCAGTGTGTTTTTAGTTTGGTTTAGTTTCAGTGGTGGTGGCAACGCGGCCCGACTTCACCGCATGCTCCTCGTTGTTTCCCCCCACCACCCCCTCCCCCCACCACCCCCTCCCCCCACCACCCCCACCACCCGCTCCCCCGGGTAGATGCTCGGCTGAGTTTGCGGGTCACCGCTGCGAGCTCTTCGCCCTGGAGAGGAGGAAGAGGTCGAGCTCAGAGGGGGCAGCGGCGGCAGCGGCCGCGTCGCTCTTCATGGGCGGCATCGCGTTAGTCGTCCTGTTCGTGGCCTACCACTGGTGAGTCCACCGACTCGCTCCGCCGGTCTGCCCTCCCCCCCCCTGCCAAACTCACGCCGTAACAAACTCGTCCACCCAAGACTCGCCCACCCCAAACTCGCCCACCCCAAACTCGTCCACCCAAGAATCGTCCACCCCAGATTCGTCCATTCCAGACCGCGGGCACAGCCGCTCGGCTTCGCTTGCGAATTCAGCAGCTCCCCTTCTACGGCTGGGCCGGGTATGGTCAACTTTTTCAGTTCGCAAGGGGAAGTTCAGGTGTCCTTCTGTAGCGTGACCCATCACGTAGTCTCTGCCGCTGCCTCATACGCACTCGCGTCAAACGCGGTTGCTGGTGGATGGCGAAGGTGGTGAGTAGTGGTGGGTAGCCGGTGGTGTCTGCCCATGAAATGGTATTTTGTCATCGCCGTAGGTGGTGAGCGGTGGTGCTTAGCGGGCGGTGAGTAGTGCTGACGGTGGTGGTGAATGGTGAGTGTGAGCGCTAGGGGGTATCCCGCCACCCCCACCCACAAGCCACTCACGACTAGAGAATGCGGACATTCGTTCCGCGCAACAATGGAGGCTTCGCGGTGACCCCCGAAAGCGGAGAGGATCAGAGAGGCGCTCGCTTCGCCTCTCGCATGCCCATTGTGCGTACGCTGGGTGGAACGGTGGCGCAGCGGTTTAGCGCGACTGCATTACGAACCCGGCAGGCCACGAGTTCCATTCCCGCTCACGACCGCCCAGTAACAGCGGCGAATATTTGAATCGGTCCTGGGGCCCTGCTACCCCCCACCCACCCATCCCCGAGGTTGACTCGGCGTTTAAATGAGCACGTGTTTGCGGTGTGCGTAAAAACGTCAGCATTGGGGAGGAGACAAAGGCGGTCGGGCGGGTGTGGTGTGGGCCACAGCAGCCCCTCTCCCTCATAGGTTACGCGCCGTTACAGCCTTCATAGGTGTCTCGCGTTGGCGCTAGCAGCACTTGCCCCAACAGTCTTAAGGAGGCTATACGGGGGATATTTGTCTTTGGAGTGGCGGCGCTGTGCGTGAGACGCGGGGTTTGGTGCTCGCGTGCCGGGCGCGTGAGCGATTGTTGTGGTGCACGCGCAAACAAAACAAAGACAAAGATCCGCCCCTCCCCCATAGCCTTAACATACTGATGGGGCAAGTGCCGTAGCGAGCATCTATGAAGGCTGGCACGGCAGACGAGGAGGTGGGTGTCCAACACCTCACCCGGCCGCCTTTGTCTCCCCAGTGGCGGTGTTTACACACGGCGCTAGGTACTCATTTGAGGCAAGAGGAGAGAGAATCAAACTCGGGTCGCCGGGTTCGTAGCGCAGCGCGCTAACCGCTACGCCATACGCGCATGCACACACACACAGACACACACCTACTTACACACATACAGACAAAGACACATACACACACACAGACACGCACACACCTACATACACAACACATAAACACACACGCACATACACACACAGACACGCACACATACACACGCAGACACACACACGTACAAGACACACACATACACACACATACACGCACACACACACAGACCACACACCTACTTACACACACATACAGACAAAGACCACACGCATACACACACACAGACACGCACACACAGGCAGACACACACACACACATACAGACAGACACACACATACATACACACACGCATACACACATACACACACAGACACGCATACACACACACATACACACACACACCTACATACACACACAGACACGCATACATACATACATACACACATACACACACACAGACACGCACACACGTACGTAAGCGCGCACGCGCCGTCCCCACACAATTGCCATCGGCTCCGGGCACGCAGAGGCAGCGGAGCGAGCGAGCAGCCTCAAGCCACGGCAGGCGGCTTAAGGGATTCCACCTGGGGGAGTTTGTGTTTACTTTGTTTGTTAGAACGGAGAAAGGGAGGGAAATGTGGGTGGAGAAAGGGGGGACGGGGGGGTGTTACGGTTGAAACCGCACCACGTTAACATCGTGAAAGTTGGTGACGGGCACGTGCCGAAGTCTCTATCCATCTACCAGTGGATCGATCATGGCTAGCTCGTGCTGTCGACGACGACGACGATGATGTAAGCGCGCAGATGCGCTTGCTCATTCGGCGGCGCGTGCGCTAAGTTGTGACGGCCGAAGGGTGACGAAGCTTTCGCGAAGGAGAGAAGTCTGTGGCACTCACCCAGCGTCAAGAGGATTCCGCTCGCCAATCTCACACGCCGCAATGTACGCAGGCCAGGGCACGAGTTGTCAGTGAGTTGCCCCTCTGTGTTTCGTAGCGATTGGGGCACAGGTGTTTTTGTTCTTGTGATTTTGTCGTCGGCATGCAAATGTAAACGATTTGTTGTGTTTAAAAAAATATATATTTTACCCGCACTGACCAGCGTGGTGAAGTATGGTCTCCAGGAGACGACTAACAAGTAGTTGCGCCTTATTCTTATCATCATCATCATCACTCTTTACCACGCACAGCTCAGCGATAACTCAGAGAGAACACCAAAACACCCCTCGAGTGTCTCTCGAGTCTCGTCTTTGTCGAGCCACGCGTCTCGCCCCTGCACGAGGTTTGAGGGTTAGGGTTGGCCTCCTGACCCCGGTCACCCTCCCCTCTACTTCGGAGACCCAACAAACAGAACTGACGCGAACTGGCTACGCCGAGATTGAGCCGGATCGAGTGGCTGTGAGAGTCTAACCCGGGGCGAGTGGTGGGGGCGGGGCGGGCGGGCGGGCGGGCTGTGAATTCCAACATAGCGAGTTTGGCACACGGCGAGACAAAAATAAATAGATTGGACAGCAAAAGGTAATCATCATAATCGCCATCGTCATCACCAGCATCAGCAGCAGCGATCAAACAATCCACTGCTGGCTGAATCCCTCCCTCCTTTTTTGAAATCCAAGATATCATACGGATCTCCCTCCCTCCCTCCCTCGTGCCTGCTGCCACCCCGCTATCATTCTTAACCATCGCCCGTCATCATCATCATCATCGTCGTCGTCATCATCACCCCTTGCAGCCGTAACGCGTCCTGCCAAAGCCCCGCTTACTGTCCCCTGCAGAGTTTGAATGAAGTCGCTAAGCTGCGTGTGTTCCCACAAATGCCACGCGTGTTCATCTCTCCCTCTCCGTCTCTCCCTCTACTCAATGCGATTCCAAACGTGCAAACCCATCCCTCTCCTCCACGCTTCTCAACCGAGTGCCAAAGAGGAAACACCACGATGACATGAATATAATTGACCGGAAAAAAAAACATTCAACAGCAGCAACAACATCAGCAATCATAAAAAAGAAATACAAAGCATGTAACCGGAAAGTAGTAAAGGTTAATTAGCGTGAGTCGGGCGGAAACCTTTAATGATTCTCGGGCCCTAACTGCGCTTTAAGTGTGGCAGGGGTGGCTGGTCTGAACTGGCGCTGCGTGGATATTGCCGCTAGCCACGTTACATCGACCAAATCATTGGGCACTGCACTGATGAACCGGAACAACCCGAGTTCGATTCCTGACTACAGCTCACGTCGCCTCCCTGGTTTTCTCCATTCGCCAATCTGCACCGATCAACGGTGGTGAGGTATGGCCAAATAAGTCCCCCCCTCCCCTACCTGCCCCCCCGAGAGGCCATCCAGCAGTGGATTAACATTTGAGCTGTTGTACACGCGCACATGTAAACCACTCATAAACGGGGCTGAGCCACAATCAGAATATGTATTCACACAGGAGGAGGAATTCGATGAGCTATGAAGCTCTTTTTCGCAGACGTCCAGTCCGGGCACAGGGTCACAACGTTACAACAACAACAACAACAAACAGTACAAACAAAAATCTAACCAGGTATCTCTCATTGCTAACACAAATTGGGTGTCCAGGGCGCTGCGTGCCGCGGGCCTCGCACGTGCGGTTGGATGGGTGGATCATCGCCACATACGTCGGTCTTGCGGATCTCAGGACGAACCGGAGCAAACGCCTCCAAACAGCCGATGGCAAATTAAAACAGAAGCCACGAGGCTCCCACAGGCGTGGACGATTGTGGGTGCTGTGTGGAGTGCCACCCCACCCCACCGCTGACCTCAACGTGCCACGTTTCCCCTAGCACGACGCGGGGTTCGGTTTGTGCGGTGTCGCACTGCGTATGCGGCTTGACGTGATTCTACCCCCAACACATTCGCTCTGCTGCGCGGGTTGTATTAACTCTACATGTGGGAGAGCATTGTGTGTGTACTGTGTGTGTACTGTGTGTATGTACTATGTGTGTACTATGTGTGTGTGTACTGTGTGTGTACTATGTGTGTACTTTGTGTGTGTACTGTGTGTATGTACTGTGTGTATGTACTGTGTATGTAGTGTGTGTGTGCTGTGTGTGTGCACTGTGTGTATGTACTGTGTATGCACTGTGTACTGTGTGTACTGTGTGTGTACTGTGTGTACTGTGTGTGTACTGTGTATGCACTGTGTATGCACTGTGTACTGTGTATGTACTGTGTGTACTGTATGTGTACTGTGTACACACGGTGTACTGTGTGTACTGTGTGTGTACTGTGTGTACTGTATGTGTACTGTGTATACTGTGTGTACTGTATGTGTACTGTGTGTGTACTGTGTGTGTACTGTGTATGTACTGTGTATGTACTGTGTGTACTGTGTGTGTACTGTGTATGTACTGTGTGTACTGTGTGTGTACTGTATGTGTACTGTGTATGTACTGTGTGTGTACTGTGTGTGTACTGTGTGTACTGTATGTGTACTGTGTGTGTACTATGTGTGTACTGTGTATGCACTATGTGTACTGTATGCACTGTGTGTACTGTGTATGTACTATGTGTACTATGTGTACTGTGTATGTACTGTATGTGTACTGTGTATGTACTGTATGTGCACTGTATGCACTGTATGTACTGTATGTGCACTGTGTATGTGCTGTATGTGTACTGTGTGTACTGTATGTACTGTATGTGTACTGTGTGTACTGTGTATGCACTATGTGTACTGTATGCACTGTGTGTACTGTGTATGTACTATGTGTACTATGTGTACTGTGTATGTACTATGTGTACTGTATGTACTGTATGTACTGTATGTGTACTGTGTACGCTACTCGGCAGGCAGCCGTCCCCTCGTGCACTCTCGCTTTGCGCGCTCGCTTCCCTCTTGGAACGCATTCACCACCACCACTATCACCACCACGACCACCACCACTAGCACCACCACCATCATCACCACCACCACCATCACCACCACCACCACGACCACCACCACGACCACCACCACCAGCACCACCACCATCACCACCACCACCACTATCACCACTACCACCACCACGACCACCACCACCAGCACCACCACCATCACCACCACCATCATCACCACCACCACGACCACCACCACGACCACCACCACTAGCACCACCACCATCATCACCACCACCACCATCACCACCACCACCACGACCACCACCACGACCACCACCACCAGCACCACCACCATCACCACCACCACTATCACCACCACCACCACGACCACCACCACGACCACCACCACCAGCACCACCACCATCACCACCACCATCATCACCACCACCACCATCACCACCACCACCACGACCACCACCACGACCACCACCACCAGCACCACCACCATCACCACCACCATCATCACCACCACCACCATCACCACCACCACCACCACGACCACCAGCACCACCACCATCACCACCACCACCATCATCACCACCACCACCACTACCACCACCACCACCACGACCACGACCACTATCACCACCACCATCACCACCACCATCACCACCACGACCACCACCATCACCACCACGACCACCACCACCACCATGACCACCACCACGACCACCACGACCACCGCCACTACCACCACCACGACCACCACGACCACCGCCACTACCACCACCACGACCACCACGACCACCACCACCACGACCATCACCACCACGACCATCACCACGACTACCACCACGACCACCACGACCACCACGACCACCACCACCACCACCACGACCACCACGACCATCACCACCACGACCATCACCACGACTACCACCACGACCACCACGACCACCACGACCACCACCACCACTACCACCACGACCACAACGACCACCACCACCACGACCATCACCACCACTACCACCACCACCACCACCACGACCACCACCACCACTACCACCACCACCACCACGACCATCACCACCACGACCACCACGACCATCACCACCACCGCCACCACCACGACCACCACCACCACCACGACCACCACCACCACCACCGCCACCACCACCACGACCACCACGACCACCACGACCACCACCACCACCGCCACCACCACCACCACCACGACCACCACGACCACCACGACCACCGCCACCACCACGACCACCGCCACCACGACCACCACGACCACCACCACCACGACCACCGCCACCACCACCACGACCACCACGACCACCACCACCACCACGACCACCGCCACCACCACCACGACCACCGCCACCACCACCACGACCACCGCCACCACCACCACCACCGCCACCACCACCACCACCACGACCACTGCCACCACCACCACCACCACCACAACCACCACGACCACCACCACCACAACCACGACCACCGCCACCACCACCACTACCACCGCCACCACCACCACGACCACCACCACCACAACCACCGCCACCACCACCACCACGACCACCGCCACGACCACCGCCACCACCACCGCACAGCGCAGCGAGGGAGCCCTGCATGGCGTTCGTGAAGCGTCTCGTGCGCTGCACGTGCCAAGCGGATTGTCGTGATCGCAGCACCGTGACGGGGGCGGTGGGGTGGGCTGGGGGTTGAGGGGCGTTCATCCAGCAGTGGATTGACCAAGGACGACGACCGGCCGGGTCACCCTTCACTAACAACGTCGCGTGTGGGTGGTGTCGTTGTCTCGTGCAGGTGCAAGAGGAAGAGGAGGATCGAGGCTGAGACGAGGGAAGTGTTCCTCTGAAGCGCCTGGCGAATACGAGTCACCGTCGTCATAGTCGTCATAGTCGTCGTCGTCACCATCGTCGTCATAGTCGTCGTCACCATGGTCGTCATAGTCGTCGTCAGCATTGTCGTCGTGGTCATCATCATCATCATCGTCGTCATAGTCGTCACTATCGTCGTCATAGTCGTCGTAGTCGTCATAGTCGTCACCATCGTCGTCATAGTCGTCACCATCGTCGTCATAGTCGTCACCATGGTCGTCATAGACGTCGTCATAGTCGTCATCATCGTCGTCATCGTCACCTTCTGAAGAACTCAACAAGGGTCGCGTCTCCATGCTGGCCACTAATAGAGCCCCCACAGATGCTACGGGGGTGGGGGGGGGGGGGAGCTCACTAATCGTGGCCGTAGTTGATTGGCACGTTAAAGACCGAGGCCATCTGAATAGCGTTTGCGTTGCTGGTCTTAAGCACCAAAGACTAAAAGCTGTGGTCACAACTGTATTTATATCCTGTATATATTCTACACATATAAACGATTCACACAGTCCCTTTGTCAATCCACTGCTGGATGAATTCCACGTCGATCGTGGTGGGAGTTGCCTGACCATACTTCACCACGCTGGTTCAGTGCGGCTTGGTGAAGGCCTTTGGGGGGGGGGGGGTTCAGATATGATTCGCCACTGATGTTAGCCGTGGCAGGGAATTGAATTCGAGTGTCCAGGTTCACAGCACTATTTATAAGGTCCCGTCTAATTTATTTTGCCATTGTGCATTCCGTGTTGTCTTTTTATCCTTGTAAATATGACCACGTAAGTGAAATCGCGTGTAAATACCGCGTCGGGGTGTAAAAAGTAAAAGTCGAAGTCTCTATCCGCTCATCTCCGTTGGTAGTGGACATTCCACGTTCCCATGGCAGTGCCAAGTTTGTGTGTTAATCCCAAAATCATCATGAATCATGGGTGTAACGATTCCATCGGCTACCTCGCTAATCAATGCACGTTGCAAACATAGCGGCCTCTTGTGAGCCGTGGGGAGGTCACGTGAAGGCAATTCCATTTATGAATCGAAAATTATCATCGGCTCTTACGCGCACCAATCCCGTGGACAAGCCATATATCGTGAGTTAAAAAAAATCGATAGCGACACATCGATGCATCGTCACACCCATAAGAATCATCAATTAAGCTAACAGGAAATGACGTACGCGTGAGGCTCGTGTGTACAATTGAGATGTGTTGCGCGTGACTGATCCCAAGTGACTTGAGGGATGTAACGATTAATCGATCAGTTGTATTGCAATCGATTCCCGTGCCCCACAATAACACGCTTTACGACTCGCGCCCGAGAATCGATTACGATACAATCGATTAAGAATGGATTATGTATAGATTATGTGATCATGAATATATTGTGTTATTTCTGCTGAGCTGCTACGGTCGATTCCACGAATGTAATGAGTCGCGATTAATCAACTTTATGATTTTCAAAAATCTGTGTTTGGTCTCGTTTTTAAACCACCCCGTTTGTATTATTTGGTCTCCTCCTCGCCCATATGATGTTGGCCATGGCCAGGGATCGAACAGAAGTCAATGTGTTTATTGCACAGTGCGCTAACCACTGCGCCACCGCTCCAAAATTCATCGATTCCCCCGTATAGCCTAAGCAGACTGTAGGGGCAAGTGCTGTTGGCGAGCACCTATGAAGACCGGTACGGCACACGAGTGGGTGGGTGGCCAGCACCACGCACGGCCGCCTTTGTCTCCATAGTGGCGATACTTACGCATCGCGTACTCATTTAAGGCTGAGTCGACCTAGGAGAGGCCCTGGACCGATTCAAATAATCGTCACCGGTGTTGGCCGAGACCGGGAATCGAACTCGGCATGGCCGGGTTCGTAGCGCTAACCGCTACACTACCGCTCCCCACACACAGACATGCAACATTTATCGATAAGGAGCACCGTACAATAAATCTTTGTATTGCTACATCGATCCTCTCCACAACTCATCAGGCACACGGCCTTCTGGGGTTGCGTCATCTCGGCGTAAGCAACACCATGGACCGGTTGCCACTGCCAAGTGGCTCATCGGCAGAATCAGGGCTTCGCTTGCATCAACAATGCTTGTGAACTGCCAGGTGTAATGGTTCGACGCACAATCATAAAATATACGCATAGCGCGAAACAATCAGTGTGGTTTGTCCTTTTCTCTAATTGGTATAAATTATTTGTAACAAAAGAAAAAAAACGAATAACAAAAAGAGTCAATTTCGACCACGTCGCGATAACACAGCGCATCTGTTCACTGAAAATAAAAAAAACGAATAACAAAAAGAGTCAATTTCGACCACGTCGAGATAACACAGCGCATCTGTTCACTGAAAAAAAAAAAGTATTTGTTTTGGCACATCCCATTCGGGCCACGCGGACTTCTGCGTTTGCGTCATTCCTGCAGCGTCGATTCAGCGCGAGCAGGACTCGGAACCGCTTTGAAGACACGCGGCGTCTCTTCGTGAACGATGATTCACCGTCCAATATGTCAGAGACGAAGCTGAAGAAACACAATTATTACATATTTGTTTTTGGCGTTACACACGCGCCATCGGACGCGTGCGTGTGACGGCGAATAAAATTTGCGAGGTTTTTTGTTTTGTTTCTTTCTTTCATTTAAGCTTCACCGGACGCAAACTCAAGAGACCACGGACTAAATCAACGTCAGCTGCAAGGATAACCTGAGGTTCACCGATGTAACTTTCATGAGCCGCCGCCCCTACTGGACATCTGCTTCGTAGATCGTGGGATTTCTCCAGGATGAAGTAAAGATTCTGACTCTGGCGACAAAAAGCTAAGACGAATGAGAGAAAATAAATACAGGCACAGCGATGGCCCAAACTGAAATCAGAGCAACAAACAACGGCGTCACGTGACAAATGGAGAATATTGCACAGACCTTAATCGGCGTTAAATTATAGATTCCCTGTTGCTCAAGTCGGCTCGGGCAGATTATATTTAGACCGATCATAGCACGATTTAACACGCATGCTTTCACGGCCAATACTATGTGATTCGTAGCAAAAATGTGGGTCACACATTGGCAAATCACGCGAAAACACAAAAACACGCACGCACACACGCGTGGAACACGTGTACACACGCGCACACACGCGTGGAACACGTGGAACACACACATGTGGAACACGTGTACACACGCGCAAGCGGAGATTTCGATTTCGTAATTTGAAACGGCGCTTATAAACGCCAGACAGCGTTAATTGCATTTGTGCGTCACGTGGCACGTGTTTAACAATCATCGGGCGCGTGCAGCGTGGCACGTGGTTGCGCGCGTGGGCTGAAATTTGAGTCCTATCGGACACAAAATTCGCCTTGAGGATAATTTATCTTCGCTCGATAAAATCATCGTGGATATAGCGGCCTCTAGTGGCCGGTCACGTTACACCCAGTACATACAACTTATGAATAAAAACACTGGGATGACTTTTATTACTATAAGTCGCGATTGGATCATCCGTGTGTCGTGAACCTCGAAAGAGCCGACGCGCATCAATCAGTCGAATCGTGGTCACAGTCCTCCGGTTCCAAGTCCACACGCACGGGACTCTCCAAGATGGTGTGAGTAGAAGGGGCTCTCCTTAAATCAGCTTAATACTCCGTAAGTCGAACTTTCCACCTCCCAGGAATTCTATAATTACTAAATAAAAGCAAAAACCTCGTTTCGGTGGGTGCGTCTTATTATCCGGCAGGGGTGTAAACACGTGTGTATGTGGGGGGGGAGTGTAGGGTGCTCGCTAACAGCACTTGCCCCTACAGTCTGTTAAGGCTATATGGGGGATCTTTGTCTTTGTAGGGTAGCGGTTAGCTCGCTGCGCTATCGAACCTGGCGGCCCGAGTTCGATTCCCGTTCACGGTCTGGTGCGGTGCTTAAAACATTGCCACTAAGGAGACAAAGGCGGCTGGACGTTGGCCACCCAACGTCCAGCCGCCTACGGCCTTCATAGGTGCTCGCTAACAGCACTTGTCCCAACAGTCTGTTTAGGCTATACGGGGGATCTTTGTTTTTGTGTGGTACTCGCTCGGGGCACTTGCCCCAACAGTCTGTTTAGGCTATACGGGGGATCTTTCTCTTTGTCTGTGTGACCAGATATATATAAACTGTTTCCATGCGATACAACCCGAAAACACATCTTGGATCTGTATGATATTCGTTATTATATTATTCTGACATATATAAGGTGGCGAGATGTTAACTACCTCGCTTGGAGGTCGTAGGTTCGATCCCGACCCTGACGCCTGCTGTATATTTGGAGTTTGCGTGTCTCTCTCTCTCTCTCATCATCATCAAGGTGGCGAGGAGATGTTAATTACCTCGCCTGGTATGGAGGTGGTTGTGGGTTCGATCCCGACCTTGACGCCTGCTGCTGTATATTTGGAGTTTGCGCGTCTTTCTCTCTCCTCCTATGGTCGCGTGGATTTTTCTCCCGGCCCTCCGGTTTTTTCCCTCCACACTTAGAATCAACATCACGCGTTTAGAGTATTTGGCTGCTAAACATTTCCACGTGATGAGCCAATTCGTCGCTTCTGAAAAACGTGCTATGTAGCTCGGTGTAGGCCTTACCTGGTAAAATAAAAAAAAAATTGTGAAGTCAATATACGATTTTTCCTAAAGGTATTGCATGGGACTGAACAGCACTTCGGTCAAATAGCCGGGTAATTTGGAAACACGGTCATAAACTAACTTTCCTGGGCAGCAAGGAACATAAAGAGGCAAGGAAAATAAACACACACACACGCGTACACGCACGGTGACTCTCATAACGCTTTTTAAATCGTTGGTTAAAAATAACAGCGTAAACGGCCCTGTTTCATGTTTGCGTTTCCTATCCTCGCTTCCCATTAACCCGGCTCCTGCAATTAACCCGCTACTCATTAACAGCGCCTGCGGTCGCTACGGTTTTTAAATTATATATTTTTTACAAATGTGCAATTTTGGCACTGCACAGCCAATTTCACTTTCCATTCATTCCGGATCAAACTGCCTGGGAACGACGGCCGCAAAGGCCCAGCCGGGTGGTTATTTAACAGCGGTGCCAGTGGCG